TAAATGCGGAGACCAGTGGTGGCGCCTGCACATTTCGTGTAATTTTAATGACCTCCAAAGGAACAGCGAATCGCGACTAAACTGTTGGTTTCGGTCGGAAGTTGTTGCGTGGATGGGAGCAATAAAACGCCTGCTCGAAACCTTAGGCCTTCTCTACTCTATCGCATTCTGAGTCAGTAAGACTGGCAGTTTGACCGGGGTACCAGACGATGTCCACCGCCTGGATTATGGAGTGCGAGTCGCACGGATGACTTGAGCGCGAAATCGGTTATTGTAAAACAGACTTGCGCTGCATCTTCAGTACTATATCCTCCCTCACACATCTTTCTCCGATGGCAAGCCACAGTTAAGGCGAGGGGGGTTTGCACAGACGCAATGGCTATAAAGAATAGACTGTCCGTCAAACGTGACCTTGTTCATCTAGCTGGCATCTGTAAGGACGTCATGGATCTCACATGCGTCACAAAGACCACGTTAAGAAGGAACCATGGCAGCCTGACTCTCAGTCCCGCATGTACTCTAAAAATGAGGACGAATTTATGGCATCAGTTTGCGGCCCCCCCAAGCGTCGATTCTCAGCGCATTAGGATAGATTCAAACGCATCAGGATTCATTCTAGTGAGGGATGTACCAGTATTGACCTCGCTGGACTCAGTTTATTGTGTACTAGGAAGCCTACTCTAGTTTTTGCGGATAATAATATGAGAGGTAGTCTGCACAGTATTTGGTCCGCTTGTCCAGAGCAGCGTTTTGTTAGCCGGGTTGTTAAAACCTTGTGGCATCCTTAAGGAACGTGCTTATTACTTTTAGCAGCCTAGGTATGTGGGAGAGCTCTTGCCTTGGTCAGCGTCTCATTATTTATCCAAACTTTCACTGAACTGCTACTAAAGTTATGCAGTAACAACCATGTGGCGCAAACGATTTATTTAAAATACAGCGTCCCTTCAGCCAAAAATATATGTAACATATTCATTAATTTTTTCGATTACTTCTGTTTCGGTCACACTGTTGTTGGCATTTCAGATACTGATTGTATAACAGATTCCAGAATGTTCGTTTGCTTCCTCCGTAATCTATAGGCCTCCTGAAGGGCTTCAGCCATAACCTAGAATTTAACATTGTGCATCTCGATGAATTTTCTCAAGACTGATACACAGCACGGCTTGCAGTTTATTCATAGATATTTTGAGTAACACTCTCTTCGCTGGCAAGCAAAACGCACGGGGATCCGTACATTTTGCCTGGTGTCCAAACGCATTGCTATCCATCTAGGGTGTCGGAAGTAAACATTCGTGGGTGAGCTAGTTCTGATTGTATTTCCAACATCACCCATAAATGACACATTACCCACCCTTCAAATGTAAGTATTTATTCAGACGGAGAAGATGCAATCGCTGGAACATTATGTTGTTTCGCCTGACATTTCCGAGTCTCACTCTAACTCATAAGTTGAGACAATCGAGGATATGGGGGATTAGGGGAGCTTAGCATTTATAGGCTTGAGTTGCAATGCCACCACGTGCCTACTATAATTAGTAGTTCTCGCGTTCATCGCTGGGGTTCGTACTTGATGCTAGGATGGCTTGACAGTACGCATCCGATAGCCACAATTTCATCGCAATGTCTAGACACTGCTTTGCTGTCGTACCAAGTAAAACCCTCAAGCATAAACGCAGGAACTACTATTCATAGCAGGTCACATGGTAACTTCGGCTCCCAATCTATCAATCATCCTTACATACGACCGTCGGTGATGATGGATTCCAGTGAGAATCCAAAATTTTCGGCGGTTCCAGTGGTAGCATCTTCTAAAATGCTTTCAGGAAGTCATCCCTTAGCTTTTATCAACGGCGAGCAGTAGCCTCAGTGCCCCTGATCCATTTTCTTCTTTTGATCAAGTTAAGTGTGCAAAATTAAATACTGTAGAAATTTATTGGACCCCATGTCAACCCGCATGTGTGAGTGTGTCTACCATTGTCAATTGACTAGGTTTCAAATCTCAGATGCCAAGCCTTGGGCTAGTTTATTGTTGACTGCTGGTTGAAGCGGAGTCACAAATGGTAGTTCTAGCATTTATTTTCATTATCAGAAACACTTCTGGACGAAGAATTAATTAACAGTGTCGTAAAGCCCTGTCTCTAGGCCTGCCCTCGAGACTTAGACTCATAGATCGGAAAACTAAAAGTATCATCGTTGGGATGGCTAAGATGAACTAAGGATCGGCCATACTAAAAACTATCCGTATGTGCCTCGCGGTAAGACACTCTACTAATAAAAATAATCTATCAAGTCATTAATCCCTCGGGAAAAGTGGTGCATTCCACTGGAACTGAGAATACTCTCAGCTGCCTTACCGCTATCTTCGTCTTTCCAAGAAATGCTGACCAGACTTGGTAAGTGCCATGATGTGGTGGATTCTTCGCAACAAGTGCCTCCCGACATAGCGACTAGCGAAGATACCCTCTGTTTTTTGGGTCTGAGATCTGACT